TTATTTCTTTAACACATTGGCGCTGGCTAGGATATTCACGGTCTGTTCCATGCAGCGCCGCTTCAACTAGCAGTCTACTCCATGAGGCAGCGTGGCACCAAATTATACTGTTTAATGCTTGCACCCTAATACCCACTAGCTGATTCGAATAGACCGAATTTACAAAATTCTCACATGGCTCGCGCGCGGTCTGGCCTGCTGATAGGACCTACAGTGAGCAGTTGCATGAATTGGGAAAAATCCTAATTAATTTTTTTTATGGCCATAAGCCCGGTCGACGGGCAAACCATGCATATAGTCAATGTCGTACTAGGAAAAAGAAATTGTCGTGCGTTTTTTGTAAACTATGTTGACTGCGAGCGGCAATTTCGTCGAAACTTCGACTGACGATTTCCAGGCAGCCAGGCACTTGAGGCCCTAATACAGTACAAAGTCTCTAATCCAGACATCCATTATCCGGAATGATCTATAATACGGACCCCAAAGCCACAAACTTACGCATGCGCATAATGCGTTTTCGCATGCGCTTTTGATGCACGTAAAGCCAGTAAAGCGTTTACCCATGCGGGCTTCTGATAGTGAAGAAAGTAACAGAGAATGTTATTGAAAACGAAAAAATTTCATTTGACAAGTTAGTCGGTATTTTCAACACAGCAATTACAGGACTTGAACAGTGGAACTTTGTAACTGAACAAGAAATCATGTCTGTTTATATAACTAAAGAAAAAGTATTAGCACAGAAAACGAAGCAACTTAAACAACTTACATTGATAGAAATGTTTACTAAAGTAAACAAATAAATATTAAGCTTTTTTTTTTTGTAAATTTTGATACCCTTTAGATCATAATTGCTCTTTATTTCATAAATTACGGTTTCATATTTTTAATTGTATTATTTCTGCATGCCATCTTACCAGATTTAAAATTGATTATCTATAATCCGGAAAAACCACTAATCCGGAATCGCCGAAGTCTCGACGAGTCTGGATTATGGACTTTGTATTTGGTTTCCTGGGCCGCTGACAAAAGATATATATTGCTGGGCTAAGTGGCCGAGGACTGTTGCATGGTTTTCCTGAGATCAGTTTATTTTTCCTTTGAAAAATCGCAGACCTCGTAGTGGGCTTTAGTTGGGCGAACATTGACCTGCCTCTGGATCTTCGGCAGCCCAATTAGAAATACAGGACCGTCCACGCATAGTGGAGAAAATCTGTGACTTTTTGGAAAATGAATACGCCCAGTCGGTACTTTTTGAATATATAGTGCGTGACCTAGTAATGAGGGACCATTATCGAACATTTAGACAACGACATGAGTTTTACTAAGTTTAGAGTTGAAGGCAAGAGAGAAAGAATACTGTTAGTATGCAAGTATTCTATGTGAAATGCCTGTGACATGCGAGGCCAGTAGAGTTCTGACATAACGAATTATCTGAGCACACATTTCTTCCAGTAAGTTTAACAGTAGTAAAAAGTTCCTTTCCTTCTAAAAAGGTGGTTAGCATTTTTCATTTTTAATTTTTGTCCATCTAAATATTAGATACAATGGATATGGAACTCAGTGATTCGTCTGATGAATCTGTATCTGGAATCACGTGAAAGAGACAAAGAAATAGAATACTTTCATCATCATCAGACACGGCAACTGATAGAAATACCACGGAGGAAGAAGTTTGGGAGTCTGATGCATTTTACCAAGATGATGACGCGGAATGGGGGAAAATAGCAGAAAAATCTGCATCAGAGGAAGAGTATTCAAAAGAAGAAGGACTACTGATCGAAGAGACGGACTGCGACGATCCTGTTGCATTATATAAATTATTCTTCACTAACGAGATATTGGAGATCATCATTGAAGAGACTAATAGGAACACTGAACAGATCATAGTGAATGTGGCATATGGTAGGAGACAACATCAACAAGCATGGTTCTCCATTACAAACAGTGAATTGAATACCTTTATTGGTATCTTGCTTATTGTGGGTGTAGTGCAGGTACCCAAAATTTGACTATATTGGTCCAAAAAGGGAATGTATGCGAATGCGTGTATACAGAAAGCACTCAAATGCAATAGATTCTTAGCAATATTGAAGTACTTGCACTTTTCCGATAATGAAATGGCTAGAAATGAGGATCAGTTACATAAACTCCAGAATGTAGTTGATAAAATTCTTCGTACATTCAAAGATGCAGTAAAACCTGGTAAAAATATAGTAATTTATGAAAGCATGGTTCCGTGGAAAGGACACCTTAGTTTTTGTCAATATATACCAGGTAAGCAGCACAAGTACGGAATAAAACTGTTCCAACCCTGCCTTCAGGGCGGGGATATACATACAATATGCATATTTATTCTGGGAAGAAATGAAACGAGAATTTTAAAAACACATTCTCATGATGTAGTCATGAAATTGATAGGAGATCTATTATTCAAGGGACGGATTTTATTTACCAACAGCTTTTATACAAGCTTTCCTTTAGCCAAAGATCTTCTCACTAAAAGAACATATATTTGCGGTACAGTCAAAATGAATAGAAAATTTCTACCACCCCAGGCAAAGCAAAAACAAAAACTGGTTGACATTATATCTTTTGAAATTCGGAGCGGCGTGAAATTTTTAAAGTCGATTGACAAAAGACCCCTGTGCATGTTAACTACTTCGAGATCTCGCAATTGCACCATTATTCGTTGGAAAAGAAGATAAATTAAAACCAGATACTGTTTTTTCTTACAATAGTGCAAAAAAGGGAGTTGATATATCTGACCAAATGTGTTCCTATTATAAATGTTTATGGAAAACGGTAAAATGGTATCAAAAAGTTGTTATAGAGCTAATATGCGGGACCTCTTTAGTAAATGTGTGGTACATCTACAAAAAGTGGTGAACCAAGCGTTACCAAATTTTAAAATTTAGAGAAAAATTTATTGATTATCTATTGAAGAATGTTGAGAATCCCCCTAGTGAAGAATTAATAGTAAGTAGACAGAAAAAACATTTTTAAGTTCACACCAAGGATCCACAAGGAAGATGAGGAAGAGATGTAAAGAGTGTTACAAATGCTTAACAAACCTAAAAGGTACACAGTACACCACAAACAAAAAAGTAATGATCTTTTGTAGCAGTTGTTCGGATAAGCCGGCACTTTGTTTAAAATGTTTTAAAAAATTGTATCGGTAACATAAGTAGTTATATTTAATGTATTGATTAAATTGTAAGTTATGTATTTTGTGTTAAATGTTTGATTATAAGGTAGAAATGTCAATATATAATGTTAAATTAATAAAATTACATTTTGTACTACGTATTTTTTTATCTACAAACGTGGCCCATTGGTGATGCATGCCGTCCCACGGAACAATCCAGCATGGGCAGTGGTGGGTCAGGCCGCCCCCATGGAAAAGACAAGCATGGGCCACCGGTGGGTCATGCTGGCATCAACGTGTTAACAAGTGCTTATCTCAACATCCATTAAAATGGATCTTAGTCCTAATAGAAGTAAACAAAGAAAAATTATAAATTTCTTTGATAGCTTCTCATAAACATAAAACAGTAATTAATTGAAGTAATGTTTCCATTTTATTATTTTGTTTTTTAGATACTAAGAGTATATGGGATGGATGAATGTCAGCATGAAATATGAAATTCGGCCAAAAAAATCTTAAATTGATAGTTTGATATACGTATGCTCATTTAAGTTTATTTTATGGGTGGGGGCTAATTTTATGAACTTCTTATCATGAGAATGATTTCTAGATCATTGTTTTTCTGAAGGGTGTGCAAGAAAGCTTCTTAACTATGGCCTGAAAAAAGCATTATTATTATTATTATTATTATTATTTAACAATGATGAAATAAGAAGAAATATTGATTTGCATGCAGAAAATAGAAACTAGTCTGACTGTAGTATTACAAACTAGGGATAAAATGTTTTTTTGAGAACCATTGTTTTATACCCTTAAAATAAGTTAACAAAATATTTTAAAGAGTGAGGTAATATTTATATGTACTGTGGAAAGAAAATTCTTGATTATGTAAATGTGGTCACTTGGAAGATTAAATTATTTATGCATGTTTCCATTTTCTTCAATATTTTGTGCTAGAGATTTTGATATAATATATATGCACTGATGTCTTGTGTGCTTGACGATGATTTCAAAGTTTGTAAACTTATAGATTAGTTCTGGTAAACATGTTCATATGGACTGGAATAATAATATTATTTTATACACATCTGTGCATATCAGGTTTTAAAAATAAAATGAGTATGTATTCATTGGATTTGAAATTGAGAAATGAAGAGCCTTTTCTTTCTTTTTGTCTGTATCACTTCCCCCCCTTTTTTTGGTTAATAAGCCTTGTGTATCTTATTTGGATGATTTAAAATAAAATTATTATAGTCTGAACATTGCATACCATAGGCATTACTGTAAGATTTTATCAGAAGTTAACAAGTAGTTTTTAATCAATATTAACTGACTCTTGATTATAAAGCTTTAAATGAATTACGTCTCTTTTCCAGCATAATGTTTCAGTTTTATAAATATCTTGCGGGAGTAATTAAATTTAGAATAGGAAAAAGTCCTGCTGTAATTTAATAAAAAATTATAACTATTTTGAATTTTTCAATCAATTGCTTTACTATTTTTCATATAATTTTAATAAAACAATTGTTTTTAATATTGTATCTATGGAAATGTAAAGAGTTCTGTTATTTAAGGATTTGCACAGATTTTCAATAGTTTATTTCAAACATTTTAATTTGTTTATAGTCTCTATGATTAAAGAAGCAATGGAATACTTTACTTTTACATATTAAATAAAACTGTTTTACTTTATTTTTATAAATAGTGTACACATATATACTTATAACAGAAATTTAAACATACAATTGATTGTTACATATAATTGTAACTGATTGTAAGATGTAATTGATAGAATTTTTCATATTTTTATTTGTTATGTATAATTGACTGCATCTGAAATTTCATTTCTATGTTAGGTTATTTGACAGTCATGAAGAGCAATACCAAAAGATGAAGGCTAGAGCTTCAAGTTTTATTATTTGCCAAATTGGTAAAAATCTGTTTCACTTCAAATTATACTACGCTAACCCTTTTTAAAACTGTTATTGTAAAATATTAAAAAAAATATGTGTTATACTAATACTATGTAATATTTTTAATAATCATATTTAAATGGTGTAGGTTTGTCAATTTTTACCAAGGAGAAGGACCAAAATATGTAAGTTTCTCTTTTTATCATGAATTAAAATTTTTAAGCTTAAAACCAGTGCTAAAGCTATTGCTTACTGATTACTACTGAATTATCCGAAGGAAAAGAAGTAAATAACATTATTGCATTGTTATATAACAACAAGATGTAGTGAAAATTTAAAGACAGATGTAGTTGAAAGTGTTAATATCATTAATTGGGAATGAACAGCCTATAGCTTCAAATTAGGATTTGTGAAACCTTCCTGCAAATTGGTATATATTAGGTTATGTTGAAGGAAATTTTTCAGATGAGTTATGTATTTTTCATAGTAAATCATCTATGAATACATTCCTTTCCTCACATGCTTTACTGTATTATTAGGTTACCTAACTATGCTTGAACGATCTAATAAAAAACCATGAAAAATTCACATAAGCTTTACAGTTTGGTCAGGTGTTTATATATCCCATTAAAACAGTAAGCTAATGTGGACTAAAAATGTAATATTTAGATGTCTATTTTTCTAGCTTCTTATATTAATATGACATTTAAAAATAGGCAATGTTAGACATGTCAAGAACAGTCACACGACTGTTATTGAAATTTTTTGAAAAAAATCTGTGAAATAAAGCAAGTTATACTAGTTTTTTTTATTATTTATTAATTTTTTTCAACACAGATAATTTCTGTAGAATTAACTGTAATTATATTTTTAATGCTTCGAGCATTCAAAATTTTAAGATTGTAGTTAAACATTCTTATATATACACTTTTGACACCAAAAGGTAACTTTTATTGATTAAAATTTATAATTTTTTAAAAAAATTCCATACTGATGTGTAAATCAGAATTACCTGGTCATTAATTAATTATGATGAAACATTCAAGAACTGTCTACATGAAAGAAAATATATTTGTAGACAAATCTTTAAGGTATTAGCTTTTATCTTCAAGATAACAGGAAGAAACACAAGAATATTCATCATTTGGCAGGAAGTGATTTATTGAAGATAATGCCTGTTCAGACAATAATTCTGCTTTTTTTTTTTTTTTTTTTTTTACTTTTATAGTAGTACATTTTGATGATGATGTCAGAACTACTGCATATATATTCCTTTCTCCAAACTGTAACATATCTCCAAAGGAAATCAGATTTGTAGAAAAAAACTAAACATCAGTTAGTGGAATTTCACTCATGATGCTGTTTACATACAGCATTTGAGTTGTTTATGGTTTATAGTCTGAGCAATGTGAGATAAGTTATGTCTCCTTGTTTCTTTGTCTCCTTCTCTCTTCTATGAAACATTGTACCTGTATTAGGATATCTGAAATCCTGTTGTTCTAGAAAATCCCTTTTCAATTTTTGAAAATGCTGTCATTTGCTTGTTCTTTTTTTTTTATTACAGCTGATAAATGGTCCTGAGAAGCAGCTGTCTTATGTTTTTTGACTTGACTTAGGTAATGAGCCTATGTGTTTGAAACATTTCAAATTTCTAGAAAGGAAAATTTTTTGGGAATTTATAGATATCTGTCTGTATACCTATGCCTATTTCCGTCCAATTTCTAACCTTCTGGTCATTTACAAATTTCATAGCCAAAAAGTACACTCTTAAAGAAGTTTTTCATTATTGACATGCTAATATTATACTATACTATTCACGAAATCTTTTCAATCAGATTTTAAAACATCATTTGACACATTTTCTTCCTCATGTCAGAGAGTATGGGTGCAGCAATTTGCATATAGTAAAGTTGAATCCTTTTGTATAATTCAGTGACATTGATAATGTAGCTACATACCTATCAAATTTTATTGAATTTTATCTGATATTACTCTTGTTTTATTTATTTTTATGATTATTACTCTAATTTTTTTGTGAGTGTAATATCCATTTGTTATTCATGTTTAAAAATGTGGTGTTTTCAAGTCTTTTTAGATGAATTTTGTATCAGTTTTATTTTAAAATTTTGTACCAAATTGCTAAACTTAATATATATCTTTATATGAGGGTTTGTTTACTCTTTTAAAAAATCGTAGTAAAAAGGTGGTGATATATTAGATATTGATGCATAGTCTAAAAGTATTGAATGTATATATGAATATGCAGTAAAAGTTTGATAATTCAAGAAGTCTAAAACTTTGATAATGCCAAATTATCAAATATGTTGGATTACTGGTCATATTAAGATAGTCTGGTAAAAGCAATTTTGTAAATGTAATTCAGCTTAATATAAGAACAAGAAACTTGAAAAAAAAAAAAAAAAAAAAAAACCCTACGTACATAACTCTATTAATGAATTTACTCCTACAGAAATATGAAATATATAGGTAACTCTACAAATGTATTTACTACTACAGAAATACAGAGTTAACTATATATATATATTTATTAATATATATATATATATTTAATTTATTAACCTTAATCAGTTTATGTTTTAGAATCTTATTACATGAAGACTTTCAGATTTTGTTTAAAGAATGTTTTTCTTTAAGCATAATAGTTCAAAATGGTTTTAATAAGGTTCTCAGTATTTTCCTTTTCTTCAGCTGAATATTGATTGCTACATAATATTCAGCCATAATGATAATATATTTAAATTAAATGCCAAAGTTTTTTGATTGGCACACTATCAAACTTTTAGCATACTTGGAATGCTATTATATTAATTATGACATCATAGACTAATCGCATTCATATAATGATTATTTAATATATTTTAATATAAAAAATCTGTATTTGGAATGATAATAGCTTGAAAATGAAAAATAAAATGTAGAGATATCATAATTTAAACAATAGAAGCCATATTTGGCCATTGCACTATTACTAGTTTCCTAGAAAAGAAAAACTATCCACTTTTACAGAAAAATTTCTTGTCAACAAGGAGTGAGAAAAGAGAGAAAACAAGAAACAGCTAAATAAACCTGCATATATGAATTAAGAAGATAATAAAAATTTGTGGAGAATTATCACTTAATATTTTCTCATTTCATGATTAATTATTTTTTCTAGAAATTGTAAGATTTTTGAAAATATCAGAAATTATGAAAAACTTATAGGATTTCAATCACCTTGCTTTTAATATTTGCTAAATCAGTGTAACACTGTAAAAGAATTATTATGATCACATACTTTGTAAATTTTAGTTTTAAGATTATAGTTATTTATGTTTTTATTTTATATTCCTAGTTATTCAATAGAAACATATGTATTTTATGTCCGACCAACTTTTTGTGGCAGTTGTGATAAAAGATTTGTATGTCAGGTATAAAATTTTTTATTTGTAAATACTTATACCAAAGTCAATATTATTTTATAGCAATTACTTAACATGCCCTTAGTATGTTTATTCATCTTTGTTAATTAATGAGTTTTTTATTTCTCTTTCTCTAAATGTATAGGCCTCAAGTATAAATTTTTTGTGTGCTCATGGCTTTGATTTCAATAAGGTATGTAAAATGCTTCACTTTTTCTTTTTGTACATCAGCAGTTTTTTTTTAATAAATAACAATTTTGGTTGAAAATGGCCGAAGCATTTTGCTTCAATAATAAATAATGCTTTCAATAAATATGACTTTTTTAGCAATGCATATTAATTGATAAAAATGAAAATGAGAAAAACATTCAAATAGTCATTGTACACATATGCAAGGTAATAATAAACTATGCAATGCCTAAGGCATTATAAGGCAAAAGTAACAGCATGTTATAAGTAGTTAATGATTATAAGTAGTCATGAGAATTACTATGTCAAAGTATATTACAGTAAACTTAAAAAAAAATTCTAATGATTATAAGTAGTCATGAGAATTACTATATCAAAGCATATTACAGTGAACTTTAAAAAAAAAATTTCTCCCCGAAGAAGTTATATATTTTTGTTTATAAATTCATTAGCTTTTTGATAGCGCAAAGTAATCACGCAAAGTTTTTTCATAATATCAGCAATGAGTTTTTTAACTGAGATATTTTCTATACGTGGTTTCTTGTCAAATACAAATTGCTTCTTGTCTTACAAATGAAGAAATTGTGTTGTATGTTAGTTATGTTTATGTGCTTGGTCTTTCAGTGATATTCTGGATTTCATTTGGCTAAGCTGTTCTCTTCTCTACTTAGGGTCTGTACCTTCAAGTATTTATGTTCAGCTCTATTTCTTAGCATAATTTATAAAACCAATGGACATTTTTAGCTGACTGTGTTGCTACTACAACTTCAGCCTTTGTCCCTAAAGGGCTATTGTTTACCATCTTATACTAAAACACTGTAGGCACAAAATTTTATTTAGTCACCATCATTAATGCAATCAGTCAGAGGGGACAGTGGGCTATTTCACTATCTCTGTAAGTTAGAATATATATATTTAATGCAAATAAATTTAATACATTTAAAATTCATCCTATATTCAATTGGGAACAAACCAATGTAAAAACCAAGTACCAGAAGCACATTGGCAAAGAGAGATATACCAAAAATGAATAAGAAATTTACACCTTTCACTGCATTGTCATCAGTAAGGTTGGAACAATAAAAAAAACTAAATAAATGAGCTTGTTTCTGAACCAATAGTGACACAAAGTTAAAAAATTTAAGTAATATCAGAAAAACAATTAAAGTAATCTGTGTCTATATCAGTCCAATCCCTACTGGCCAAAGTAAGCAGTGCAAGCAACTACAGAATTATAGCATCAAAAACATAAAAGTATTATTTTGAGATGACTAAGTCCAAAAAATTAAAACCTGCAAATGCAGGTTTTGGACTGATAAAGACGCATATTCCTTACTTTGATTGCTTTTTCTGAGATTATTTTAAGTTTTAAACTTTAATTTATGTCTTAATTGGTTCAGAAACAGGCTGATTGATGTATTTCTTTCATTACATGAATCCCTAACATCGATGCAGCAAAGGATATACATTTCTTATTTCGTTTTTGGTTTTGGCATGCCCACCCCTTTTTCGTGCAGTTTGCCACTGTGCTTCTGGAATTCCGTTTTTACATATATTTTCTGAGCTAAATAGGGGATGCATGTTAAATGTATTATTTCTTAATTTATTTTGCTTTATATTTTTTCATATTGTATTTTACACTTTTTAAATTTGTATTTTTCGATTGAATTAGGTTTTGAACTGCTTCTTATTTTGTATTTTTCAGTTTTATATATATATGTATATATATGTATAATATATATAAGATATATGTGTGTATAATAATCTATCTATATATGTGGGTATAATATATATAGATATATATTATATATATATATGTGATATAAATATATTATTATATTATTATTATACACACACTATATATATATATATATATTATTATTCTATAAATATATATTATATATATTATAATATATTATTATATATATATCTAATATATATATATATTATACACACACATAATAATATAATAATAATAATATACTAATTATATATATATATATATATATGTGTAGAGAAGGCATCATGAATAAACATCATGATAATCACCACTACAACTCATCACGTTATAACTTTAATTTGTTTATGTATATTAGAATGAAAAGAAAAGTAAAAAGAATAATCATCAAAACATTTTCACTTGTCTATCCTCACTTTCATTTGCCTGTCGTCTACCCATGTGTTCTTATAGGTGGTGCTTTAACATAATCTTACTCAGTTACAGTTCCTACATAAGTCTGTCATCTGACATCATCTTCTACCCTCAGATGAAAAGAGCAAATAATGAAATTTAACATATAAAATGCAGTAGAAATAAAAATAATTATACTAGTAAACAATAACTGAAAATAAAAAAATTGATACAGATAAATGAAAATAGTAGTCAATCAGGATCTTCTAATAACACCATCTTTGTTTATGATTAACCCAGAAAATTTTCTAAAAATAGTTAGTGATCATAATCAAAGAACAGAAGGACAGGATTAAAGTCCAAAGGTACAATTCAATTCATATAAGAAAATGGCCATGAAACACTTAAGTATACGTAATATGCTCTCATGAAGTCTTAAGTTTCATGAATTTGGCACAAGTGCTTGTTTTCATAGGTCTATCAAAAAACCACATTTTTCAACATCATAAGTATAATTTATCTTGATTTTTCACAATCTTGTATGGTCCAAGAGACTTGAGTTTCAGTTTAAGTTCAGGTCCATATTGTGTATGCTTGATTGCCACTACATCAAGAAGCTGGAACTTACAGGATGGTTTACATCATAGATTGTAGGCTTAATGATTTTTAGCCTGAACTTTCACAATCTGTTGTTTAGCTTCCTTGCAAAGATCATCATGAGTGTTGATGAAATCTAACTTGATCTCTGAAGGATTTTCAAAGACAAATTTTTGATTGTCCAGTTTATATATTACTTTTGAACTATCAGTAGATTTTGTTGGGCAAAGCCGTACAAACTTTGTGAAAGAGTCAATAAAGAGTAAATATATATAATGTTTATGAGTACTTTGGAGTGGTCCTAAATGATCAGTGTAATATGTATGAAGTGGTACATCTTGTTTTGGTATGGAATACGACTTATCTTCTTATTTTCCACATTTGCAATTAATTAGTATGCAAGGAACACAACTTGCAATATAGTTATCAATTTTATTGTTAAGTTATCAGTTTTATCTTTAAGTTATGCCATTGCCTAACCAAGTTTGAACTTGTCTTCAATGACTCTTTCAACAAAAGGTAGTTGTCTAGGTCTTTGAAAAATAAGTGTTTTGTCTTTTACTTGAATAGTCAGTTCAATATTCGTAGTTTTAGTTTTGAGAGGTTTGTGATCAGAGACAAGAATTTCAATAATTGTAACATGTTTTTTTCTAGCACTAGGATTTATTTCTAATCCAAATGTTTGATTAAGGGAAGTATTATTGATGTACATATCTTCTGGATCAATTTGTTTAACAAAATATTTAGAAATCTGAACATAATCTTTGTTAATGTTAATTTACTTAGTTTAAGAATATCCATGTCTATTATAGTGTCAAATGGCATTACATTATTGTGTACAGCATAAATATTAGTAAAAAATAATTTCGTATGTATTAAAATGTCAATTGTAAACTAAACTATTGGTTTAATTTTGTCATTACCAAAGCCAGTCGGCATATTATAAAACACACTTAAAGAAAGATTCCCTCTTTCTTATAAAAGTCATTAGATAGAACCGTTGCTTCACTTCTGGTATCAGTGATAGTGGTGAGTGATATATCATTAATTTTTATTACTTTATGGAGTAGGTTCTGCGCATTAGATTTGATTGATGTGACAGTATTCATTTTCTCAGATGTTAAAGTGTTGTTTTTTTCAGCATTTTGCCTCTGAATTTTTTTAACACACATGGGGGATTTAAGACCAAACTTTAAACAAGATGAACATTTGGGTCTGTGATGTTTGTCAGCGCAAAATTTAGGTATATGACCAAATCCATTACAGGAATAACATTTGGATGTCTTTTAATTACAGTACAAAGTCCGAAATATGGACGTCCATTATCCGGAATGATCTAAAATCTAGACCTCAAAGCCATAAACGTTTTTTTTTTTTTTTTTTTTTTGGGTATGCTTTACGCATGTGCATTTGATTTTTGATTATTCCTTTCATAATAAAACATGTGGAGATTTTCACTTAAAAATTCCAATTCTTAGTTTCACTTAGGCACTAACTAAAATACCTTGTTATGGAAAAACAATCATGTAAGTGTAAATTTGTGAGATTAATAATTTGGCTCCATAGTTGAGTGTCTGCTTTGCATATATCTCAAACCAAAACATTCACCTATTTTATATCTCTGATTCTGACCTGGCGAGTCATTATTTATTATAGTATTTTGCTTTCATCACCGCATGTTTATCAGTACATGACAGCTTCAATAATAACTCATGCAGTGATCTCTAAACTTTTTTTTATATTAGTAATTGAATAACAAGAGTATGGCAACCTTTTATGCTAACATTACGCTTGGCGATGATTATAGATTTTTAAATGCTCTAAGAAATGCTGACGAAGAAAAATTCAACAAAAATTTCTTTTCATGTGCTAAAAATAGATTTTGTTATTGAAGCTCATAGACCAAAACATTACATTTAGAGCTATTTTAATTAAGAATAACTGAATAATGTTATTCACCATAAACCCAGAAGTGGTGGCAGAATATGTCAGCGCCGGATGTCAGAATTTAAGGAAGACAACATTTTTGGAATTTTGAGAAGCAATTTGGGTAAAATTTTAAGGGATTAGAAGTTTTTATAATGCAAACTTTTCGTATTCTCGACATAGCAATTACAGGAACTTTGAACAAGAAATTATGTCTGTTTATAGAATTAAAGAGAAAGTATTAGCGCAAAAAACAAAGCAACTTAAACAACTTACATTGAAAGAAAGGTTAAACAAATAAATATTAAGCTTTTTTTTTTTTTTTTTTTTTTTTTTGTAAATGTTGATAC